GAGCCCCAAAATTAGCATCACTCAGGGGAAGTGACACAACAGGACTCAGGCCCGGCGCGCAACCAAAACCTCACACTCCCCTGAAGTCCGTGGGGAAGCACGTGCCCTCCTGATGGCTGCCTGTGACCATGGGGACACAGGCCCCATCCCCTGATGCCCCAAAGTATCTCCAGGCAGACCAAGGGCCAGGGTGGTACACAGACGACACCTGACATCCTCAGGGCCCAGGTCTAAACCTGGGGACCACACGGTACTTGCTGGATTTCAACAGTCACATTTTTCTCTCTGAGCTAACAGCAGACACAGGGCCCAGGGGACAGGGTCCAACTGAAAGAGTGGAGCTTCCAGGCCTCAGGCTGTCCTGAGATCAGGGCCAGGACCTGAGGTGTAAGTCGAGGAGGGGGGGCTGAGGTAAAGGCTGGCACAGCTTAGCCCCAGACCGCCAGGTGAGCTTTCCAAGACTCCTCTAAGAGGACACGGTGGGCCAGACCCCTCCTTTCCTTCCACGAGAAAGGGAGCGATGGAACTTGCCTCAGACAGATGTCCCCAGTCTCTGTGATATTGGGATGCCAGATTCTGGTCAAGCACTTCACCTTGGGGGGCTGCAGAGAGAGAAAGAGAGAAATCACAATGGCTCGCAAGCGTCCAGTCTCACCAGAAAGCAGGGCAGCCAGGACCACACTTGGCGTTCACCCACTTGTTTTGCGGGGCCTCGCAGGTGTCATGCAGGACCGTTCACCTCCATGTGGCCACACCTCAATATACACCGGCCCGACAGCCGCAGGGGTGTGCTCACACCAGAGCCACAAGTGCCCACCCAGCGCAGCCCCACAGAACTCCCCCAGGGCCATGTCCTGTCAGCAAGGGTCAACTGGGCCTCAGCCTCCTCCGACCTTCTTTGGGTGGGAGAGGGTGCTGGGTGGGGAGGAAGGACGGGAATGGGGACAGTTGCAGCTCACTCCAGGAACACACCCTGTGTTCTTAGGGACCCAGGACCCAATGAGGAACTGCCGCCACCTCTGCACTAAGAGCCCCTGTACTGCAGCTGATATCTCTGAGCCTGGCAGGAGAGCATCCCTCCCTTTCCTGGGGCTTCTGAGGACACTAGGACACCGCCCATCTGCCAAGGCTGACGTTTCAATAGAGAGGGCGAGAAGGAATAAAAAGTGAGGGCATGAGGGTACAGCGCAGCCATGCATGCCGTCACCGAGGGCGGCTTGTTTGGATAATGCTGTTCTTTTCTGATTTGTCGACGACAAAGCAATACAAACTCACACGAATCAGACAACAGAAGTGAGAGGGAAAGGCGTGCATAGCTCCACTGGCACCTGAGTGGCATTTTCTGAGAGCCTGATCCAGGCCACATGCATTCATTCTTCTTTCTAGAAAAGGGCACACCTGCTGCATACTACTTAACATCTCCTGTGCCCTCAGGTGGCGTTCCAGCTCCCCACTGGTTCCGCTCCGTACACTGAGGCAGCTTCCGGCCTCTAGCCCGCACTGTGCCCATCAGGCTGCTTTCCCGGCTCCCGGCCTCAGTGCCTCCTCAGAAGGAAGCCAGGTGAGGACGTGCGGTCAGAACATGGCCAGTGTCCTCACCTCGGGAAGGCTGTGACATCACACGCCACCTGCAGCCAGGGGAGCCCCAGCACCAGCCCTCAGATCACAGGGGCTCCCATGGGTGCCAGTCCCCGGAAGAGAGTCCTGGGGGCAGAGAAGGAGCCCTTGAGCTGTAATGGACGCACCTCGTGACCTCATATGAGAGGTTGTCTCAGAGACATTGAAGTTATCAATGCTCTGTCCAGTGTATCCTCTGTGGTCATTTTGATTTGTGGTGTATAAGTGTTTATTTTCCTAAGTTTTTATCTTTGTTACCTACTAAGAAAATCGTTCTTCATTCAGAGGTATGCAAATCCTCTCTTGGGCCTTCTCCAGCTCTCTTAGAGCTTCCTCTTTTAATGTGTAGGGAACAACCCTACGGAATCTCCTTTCTAATTTCAAGGTACCACAAATCATTCTGCTTCAAACCCTAACTGGCCCTGCCTCTGCCCCCAAGAAGCCATGGCTTGCTACTATCAGAATCTTCAGAACTTAGTTTCCCACCACGTATTAGCATCTGTCGTCCGCTATGGCCAGGGCTCACCACCGAACTTTCCAAATTGGTGGGCAAGCTGCTTAAAGACTGTTATATTGCTCAGCTGAATTTCTACGCAGAAGGTTGTGAGATATTAACATGTAGCCGTGGGTACGAGTTGGCATCGACTCAATGGCAGTGTTTGTGGTTTGGGCATTTGGGTGCTGTACCATGAACAGTTCACAATGAGAAGCAAGGTCGGTGTGAAGGATGCAGGCAGGTCGTACGCAAACACCTGCCGTGGGGACAGGTGTTTGGGGTCCAAGCCACTGCAAACGCCCTCAGCCTTGCTGGACTTCTAGGAAGACCGCCCAGCAAAGTTTCCACCGCAGATGTATCCAGAGAGGGACACTGTCTGCAGAAACGCTGCCGTTAATCAAGGAACGGCAGCAGGTGCACTCCTGGTCCCATGGAAGGCAGGCAGGCCAACCAGGGGTGGCAGCGAGGGTGGAGTATGCGGGTGTGGTGGTGGCAGGCTGGCAGTCACCAGGACAGGGCTCAGATGAAGTCTACTCACCACCATGTTGTAGGCATCAGGAACTTCAGTTTCAAACTGAAATTTTCCACCCTGGTAGTAACCCTCATCTATCAAAAAACACAAAACAAAACAAAAATCTTAAATTAAAAAAACAAACAAAAAGGAAACAAAAAGCAGATGCTCTATTAGGACGCAGCAAATACAGAGAATGAGTAAGACTGTAAAAATGGGTCAGAAGCAGCCCCATCCACCAGCAAACGCGTGCATGCCAGAGGAAGCTCCTCTCCTGGACACCTAGGTGTACACTGTGCCCTGCTTGAGGGGTCCCTCCCCTCCCCCTCCATCCACCCGCCAGCCACCCACTCCATCTCCCCATCTGGTTAAGGGACTTGCTCTTCGTTTTGCTGCTGCCCCTGTGGGATGTCCCAGGCCCAAGGGAGTCTGACGGGAGCCACCTTCCATTTACCCAACACCGACAGCCCCCTCCTTGCCAGGCACTGCCTCGGCCCAAGGGGTTGCCTAAGCCAGCAGATAGGGTCAACCTTGGAACTAGGGGGCTGGGTAGGAGGGCGTCCAGGGCACCTGTCACTCCCAGGATGCACAGTGCCTTCCCTCTCCCCCAGGAGCTTGAGATCGGAGCCGTTCAAGTTGGACAGAATTCCCGTCAGCACAGATATGAGGACTCTTCAAGATACTCAGAGCACAACTTCGCTCCAAGGCTGCAGGCTCACTGGTCTTCCACAGCGGCTGCGCGAAGTACCCAATTTCCCCTGAACTATGTGAACCCTCTCACATACTCTGGTGGTGACCATGACACGGGGAAGGCCAGTGTTGGACAAACCCGTCAGCACACCGCATTTCCAACTTGAGGAAGATTAACCTGTGAAGTGTGGCCCTGGCTTTTGGATGCCACTGTGAATCTGCCACCATCCTTTTTAGGAGTAACTGGTTGGCTTAGGAGCCCTGGTGGCCTGGTGGCTTACTCACTGAGCTGCTAACCGCCAGTTGGGCAGTTTGACCCCCCGTCGCTCCCGGCGAGACTCCCTCACAAAGATGTTCAGAGCTGGAAACCCAGGGGCCTTCCGGCTGCCGCACAGGCTCACTATGAGTCAGAATCGGCTCAATGGCAGCGGGTGTTCGATGACAGGACAGAGGCCACGGGCAAGCCTTTCAGGCCAAATGCCTCCCCCAGCTTTCTGCCTCACTCAACACCCAGTTCCATGGTGCTACCTGGACTCGTGTGTGGATGCCGCCACATGCTTCCTGTCCGGTCAAGCTCTCCTTTATTAATGACCTGAACGATACTTTCCTCTAACGTTCTGAAAATGGCCAGCAGGAACGTTCCCATCTACTGGTTCCTGTAAGGTGCCTCTTCTGGAAACAATTTTACTGTCATGTCTGCCCTGGTCCACGGTTATGGCCACATTCCAACTGGAAACGCAGCCGGGAAGCACCCGCTGCTTGCTCCGACCTCCCTAGCAGCTCCCATGAGAGCCCGTCTGGAGAGCCTGGCCCAGCTGGGCAGGTGGTGGGTGGGCGGGGCACAGGTCCCTAAGCTTGCTTGGCCTACAGCCATTTTTCTAGGGAAAAAAAGACTCCCCTGATGTAAGACGTGAGCTCTGGATCTTATTTTGACACCATGACTTCATGTCAGGTCTTTTCTTTGCCGGCTGCTTTTCACAGGATTCTCTGTGGTTTCCAGCAACTTACGTATGTTAGGCTATGTGCGTATGGTGTGCTTTGATGTTTTTTCTCTATTTCACTTTGGGGCATTTTAGATGTGAGAATTGTAATTTTCAGCACATTTGACAATAATTGGATCCTTTTATCTTTCAGTATTTTTCTATGACATCTTCCTTGTTACATTTCCTCTTCTCTGAATTACACATGCTGCTGGGTCACAGGTTTTATTGATAATTTTTTTCCCTTTTCTTTCTCCACTTCATTTTGGGTCATTTCTATTTTTGCAGGATCCGGGGTGTTGACAAGCTCACCCAGGGCATTGTTCAGTTGAGGTTATTGTGTTTTCAGGGCTGGATGTTCCACTTAGTTCTTTTTGCACCTTCATTTCTTCCCGAGGTCAGTCCAGACCTCCTTCCACCCTGACACCCTTTAAGGTGCCGCTCCCAGGTCTGTGCGTCACCCAATGGGCTACCCTTCTCGGTTCTCCCCCTCAGCCGTTCCCCTGCTTCAATCCTTCCCTCTAGCATCACAGGCCGCTCCCATCAGGTCCCTGGATGTGTAGGTGGACAGCTAGGAGGGTGTGGCCTGGCTACAAGAAGGCTTGCAGTGGGATGACTCCATCCATAAGGTGCACAAACTGCCCATTATCCTCACAGCAAACCCACCCACCGCACAGACACCTCCCAGACTGCGCCTCAGGAACCTGGGAGCTACACAGAGGCCTGAAGGCCACAGGGAGAAATAGGTGGATAAGCAGATACAGAAGACATGCTTGAAGCAGTGCTAACCCCATGTACTGGGGGACGACAGCGTGGGGAAACACTGTAGTGCGTGAAACCTGTGAACAACACTGTGAACGTTGGGGTGGAAAAAGGGATGTGCATTATCATCTGTCTCAGCTCCTGTCTTACAGGAAAACTCAAGAGCACATCAATGGATGATATACAGAAAAGGACAGAACACAGATTTGAGTGGGGAACCAAGGAAAGAGAAAGCAAACAAAACTACAGAGGGGAAAACCAGTGGAGCAGCAGGTCTCCAGCAATCAGCAAAGCTAACCCTCGGCCCTCCACATGGAAGAGTCCTGCCAGTGCACCCGTGAAGCGACAGAGCAGGTCATCCGCGTGGACAAAGCCCCGCAGCTCCGAGGAGCAAGGAAGTGGTGTGAAGACGACAGCATGAGAGCCTGCGGGGTTGTCAGGAGCTGAGAGCATCCACACACAAAGCAACAGGCTAATCTATCACAACCGAGGCAACAACAATGACTAAAATCAGTAATTCCAGGGGAGACATCAGTCAGACCCACAGAACTTAAGAGAATAATGTGACGATACCAAGAAGTTAAGAACTGCAAACATGAACAAGGGAATAGCCGAGGTAAAATCAGGGAAGGTGTCAGGGCCGTGTCCTTTCACTGCTCTGTCTGTAGCTGCACAAATCCTCAGAAGCAGACTGCTTACTGGAAGAAGGCTCAGCAAGAACCCGTGAAATGCAAATGGCAGGACCTTGCCCACTGAGGGGGGCCCTGATGCTCTTGCTGATAAGCAAAGGCTGCAGCCTTCAATACCAACTGCAACTTAATTAGCGGAAACCCCCATCCTCACGATTGGACCGACTGTTTAATACACAGTGGCCATCAGCTGTAAACAACTCGGGCGTCATCATCAACTGATGACCGGATGAGCTGCGGCTGCCCATTCAGTGGAAATAACGCGCGGTTACAGGGACGGATGGCAAACACACCAGGCTGGCCAGAGAAGCCACTGGTCCCCCTCTACATGCTGCCTGAGCCCATTTGCTTGACTTTCTGGAAAAGGCAAAGCCTAAGGGACAGACAGACGAAGCCAGGTCACGGGCTGTCTGAGATGTAGCTGCAACTCCTCCAGCCTGGCCCCTGGTATCTAACAGAAGCCAAAACCACAGCTGTCTCCGCACACCTGCTGGCCTCTCTGTCTGCGCCAAGTGCTGAGCCACTGAGCCACCAGGACTCTGCTCCTGAATGACTGGCTACCAACAAGCTGGTTTCAGACCACTTACTCCATACGTTGTGTGGTAGTTACATAACTTCATACCAACAGGAGTCTAGCCTGTCAATCAGGTCACAGACACCTGATGATGTCTCCCTGTGGGCATGGCCTTCTTGTGAGGATTCTGGGAATGTCCTTTCTTTCTCTCTGGAGAGGGGCCACACTCTCTCCCTGCCTTGGTCTTCCTGTTGACAAACCACAGGAGAACTGCCGAGACCTGCAAGGGCTCTCTCTCTCTCTCTCTGTTTCACTTGCTGAGGAGCCACATGGAGACCTGCGCCAGCACAGAGATGCTACCACCACCACTAGATTCACAGGACTTCCACCCGCCGGCCTGTGATCTCTCTGCACTCGTCATCCTGTTGAGTGGCTGCAGAGTCTGAAGAGGAGTTTATGGACTAGTACTGGCAAGATGGGCTAGTATCGGGCTTGCACATTAGACTCTCAGCCACCACAGAACCAGGGCAACGGAGCCAAGGACAGCATCCTGAGCACGCAGCTCCACGCGGTGCCGGAAGTCCTGGTGTGTGGCTGCCAACGCGCGCGCGTGCGTGCGGCAAAGAGCAGCAATCATTTATGGGATGGAGACTTTCCAAACTGGGACAAACAACACACTTCACGTTCAAGAACAGGACGACACAGCATTAACGACCCTGCTGGGGATGTGGCCCTCCATCAAAACAGCCGCGTGATTTGGACAGTCCAGCACATCTAGAGGCCAACTTGGCCCAGAGCCCGTCATCAAAGGCAGGAACCACTCCAGGAAAACCAGCAGAGGGCTCTGAGTGTCAGGAGCGGGGAGTTCACACTAACTTAGTGATCTAAGTCGAATGTGGACCACAGGTCATTATTCCAGAGCAGCACAGGCGTGGTCAACAGCTCTCCAGACAGCACTCATGCCTCCTCACTGCCTTACAACAGTGTGCTGAGTCTGTGGGCACAATGAACTACGTGTTGGGCTGCTAACTGGAGATCAGTAGTTTGAATCCACCAGCCACTCGGCAGGGTCAAAGATGAGGCTGTCTGCTCCTGGAAAGGCTGGCAGCCCCCAAAACCCTCCACAGCGGTCTACTCTCTCCTAAAGAGTGGTGAGGAGGGTGAGCTGGCCTTTGGTCATCATTTCAAAGTTTTAGCCCTTGGCATCAGTCACCTCCAACATTAGAGGCTGGGACACCCGCATTCACAAAGGAAGCTCTGCTTTCAGCCCAACCAGCTGCTTCCTCGCTCATGGGACAAGCTTGGCTGCTCACAGTGCCCCGTCCACCCCTCACCCCCAGGGATGAGCCTGCAACACAGTGCTTGCTACAACCACCCCCCAGCCCCCACCCCCGGCCTGGGATGAGCTGTGCCACTGATTGTGGCCCACTCCCTTGCCCCCCACTAGGGAGGAGTTGTGCTAACCCTGGTGCCCATCATCCCCAGAGGGATGAGCTCTGCTGTCCATGGGAGCCACCCCCTTCCCCAGGGCCAGATTCTGATCTGTGATAATTATCCCCAAGCCCTCTGTCACACACACATAGCTGGATTTGTTTGTCCAAGTTGCCTGGTGCATTTCAACTTTGGACACCTCTGATTATTACAAAACACTCCCCACAGTCCGTGGGGAGAGAAGGCCAGGACTCGTGAGCACACGGATGGGCGGCCTCCACGTTCCTGTGTTTATTAGCTGGTGACTATGCGCAGCCTCTCGCTCCTTTTCTAGTGGCGATTAAAATCATACAATCACACCCTTGATTCCATTCCCTCCCCTAGACTGCCCACTCGCTCTCTCGTGGCGCCCACCCAGGCGTGACCCTCGGGGAGAGGGTTGGTGAGCTGTGAGGAGCCTGCTCCTTGGGCACTGTCCTAGGGAGTTCGAGACAGACCCTTCATGGCACAGACTAGGCTCAGCTCTGCCCACTCCCGCCCATACTTCTGCATTAACCCTTCCCAGGGCTTGGCACTCTGAGACCCATTTTACAGACGGGCAGGCTGTTGCTGAGAGTGGTAGCTCAGGGCAAAGTCCTGGCTGGAACCCAATTGGGATTTGTAAGCCTCTGCCCTGGCCGGCTCAGAGGTCAGTCACTGTTGCGTCCACAGCAAGCCTCGATAGATGTTTCTAAGCCTGATGTGACTGCAAAGCACGGAGCTGTCTCCCAACAGGAGGGTCAGCTGCTCTAGAGTTTGGTACACTGAGAAGCGGACCAGTCAAGCCCCTGCTGACTTACTGGGCAACCTTTCAGCGGCTGCTTGAACAGGAGAGGCTATTACCTGGGGTCACGGTTAGCTGGAAGCAGTGGAGTTTGTTGGGATCAGGAAAGTGCACCTTGCAGGTACCTGCAAAAGAAAAGCTGTCAGGCAAGACCAAGGCCCAGCAGCTACCTGCCTGCCCGTCCGAGTGCTGACCCCAAGCTGGAAGCAGGGACATGCGTCGGTGCTGCAGGGTTCCCCAGGGAGACCCCTCTTGCCTGGAGGCAATGGAGCCAGCAGGCTCTAGTTGCCCCAGGGCCCTCAGGGCACGCGCCTTCTGTCCATTTTTCTCCCAGTGAGTTCCCAATGGGGATGCTTCCCTTCCACCTGTTCAAGGTCATTCAGACGTCAGTAGAAATGGAGCCCCAGAGGAGAGTACATGTGTCTCAGGCTCACTCCGGAAGGAAAGGACCCCAGCCCAGTCTACAATCTGGTCATTTCACCCCAGGGCCACCACACCACCAAGCCACAGTGATGCTCCCTGGGACTTGGGCCTTGCCTTTTAAAGGCCCCGCAGGCTAATGCCTTTGTTGGTGAGATGACACTGTCACTCTGGATGGCAGTGTTCTGTGCCCACATGTCTCTTGAGCCTAAGGTGCCTGCCTTAGGGCAAGTCTCACCAGGGGGAGGGCTATAGACTACACCTCACACTGCCGCCCATAGAAATGACAAGAGGCAGTAGTGCCCTTACTCCTGGGCCATCAAGTGACTCAGATCCTTAGACAGCCCACCGATCCTCTGTGGGAGGAGGTCAGATGCGCAGGCATTCCCTCCCCTGAGGGAATCAGTTGCCAGACTGCTGTCTCATCCCTCCACAGGGGTGGGCCTGCTCCCTGCCTCTGGGGACAATGGACAGGCTCCTGTAGGCGGAGTTTGCACCCTACTGATAATGTTCCTATGGAGACCCAGAGACCACCCCCTAGACCACCCTCTCATTGCTGTGTAACCTATAGTGCAGCCCCTTCCTGTGATTTTACCTGTAATTAGTGGGCTGGATTGCCCCCAAAAGGTATATAGGTGTGAGTCAGCAGGACTTCCCTCTCTGACCCTGAGCTCCTTGCTGCTCACTCCCTGGTCACTCCCCTCTCCCTTGTTCCCTTCCCCTCCTTCCCTTCCCCCTCTCCATGTGGACCACCAAGCTGGGCTGAGGTGAGCAATGTTGCTATGTATCATGCCTGACTGTATTATTGTATTGTCTCTCATGCTCTCGATGACTTTAATATAATGCTTATATATCTCAACCGTACAATTGTGCATTACTGAACCCAGAAGTAGTATTACTGAACCAGTGAGTTCAAGCAGCGGGTGGGGGCTGGTTCCCTCACCCTCCGTCCGCGCAATTTTAATTAATACTACAATGCTCCCTGTCTAGTTCTCCTCACACTGGGGACGGCCACCGATGGCCGATGCCACTGGTCTCACAGACTCGCAAATGAGGAACATGCTGAATTGGCAAATGCGTTACACACGAGGGGACCTTCAAATAGTTGGTGGAAAAATGAAACAGGGACCATGGAAATTTTCCATGAACCCTCTGCAGTCCCCATGTATATTTTCTCATAATAAAATCTCCAAAAACAGAATTCTGATTTGGACTTGGGAGGAACCATCTCACCCGAGGTCGTCCCCCCCACTCCCCATAGGACAAGAGCTCGTTCCACATTCACAGACAGCTCACGATGCCTCCCCAGCTCATCATCTCAGAAGCAAGTCACAGGTGGGACACTGTGCCCTCTCCAGAACGCAGAAGGATGAGCCCGGATAAAATACAGAGATGGCACCTTCCAGCTCTGATTTGAAGACAATTTTCAGCTCAAGAGAATTTTCTAGATGTTTTGGCTGATTTGTAAAGCTGGCCGTGGGGCCGGGGCAGAGGGGAAGACCCAGCACAGTTCCTTCCCCTCTAGGGATGGGGGTGCTGCCAGCTGGCTCTGAGAGCAAAGGTAGTGACGCCGCTGCCTCCTCCTCGTCAGAGCCAGGGGTCCCAATGCTCCGTGGACAAAACTAAAGCTCATTCCTCACACACATGAACAACAGGGTTGTGGGGTTTGGGGGGCTATGGTAGGCTACTGAAACAAAACAATCCTTTCCCCTGACACATTGGGCTCAATGTGTGATGGGCCTGTTATACTTACAAGGTAAGTTTGCTTCAAGCTCTGCCACCTCTGTAGAAACAAAAAGACTCCTGTTACTGTCAATACACTGTTCTCAGCGGCAGTTCCCAGAACCCCGAGGAAATAAGGAGAAGTGGACCAGTTGGAACTCGAAGTCACTTCACTGCTTCCAGACCATGCAGGGGCCACATGTGAACAGACTCAGCGAGGTCACAGGGTGATCATCATGTGAGTGGGATCAGCTCCTGTAGGTTTACCCAATGGTTTGTTTAGGACCATGTACCTCCCACCAGCTGGTCTCAGCCTCACAGTCTGGCTCTGCTGTTGAGGGGCCAGACCGGTGGAAGGACCTCTGCATGCGTGTCTAGCCCCCCACCCCCACCCAGAGGATGGCAGAGAAAGTATTTCACCTCCTGACCTCCATGTCCTGTCACAGCCCTGGCCACTCTGGTCACTCCCTCGCTGGCCTCTTGGAGCCACATTCTTTGCCCTGGCTCTCTGGTGGGACTCAGGTGCCTTCAAGGGCCACTCATTCAGTGTGACAAGCTGCCTGGACAATGTCCCAAGTGGCCCCCTCCACTTCCCTGATAAAGAGCCTTCCCATGCCATCAAACGTACCTGCTCGGGGGTACAGTGCAATGGTTTGAGGCAACATCCCTAGCACTATAGTCCAGTGCCTGCCGAGCTATGAAAATCCCAGATGCCGCAGCCCTGCCCCAGCCCAGCCCACCCTCCACGGTTCTGGTGCTGCCCGCTCTGCACCCCACCCCTGCTCTGCTATCCACATGCACACGTGGCAGGCTGCAGGAGGGAACGTAGTAACACACTCTAGTCTGGGGGTCAGAGTAGCTCAAATCCACTGGCAGGCAGGACCCTGCATCTCCAGGAAGGGCTCCCTCAGGCGGGTGGATTAGGGTCAGCCTGGGACCAGGTGGCCATGACCAAGGCCCATTGCCAGATCACAAGGTGCTCAGACGCCTGGTGTTACTCAGCACAGGACACAGAGTGCCCACTCGCCCCAAGAGCAGCAGCTTTCCTCGGCGTCCCAGCAGGAGTGCAGAGATGACAGGGAAGGCACGCGCAGCCGCTCTGCCCTCAAGAGCTCCCCGCCACGCCCCAAGGAGCCAGCACCTCCAGCCCCCAGCTGGAGTTTCCCAGACACCCACACCTGCAAACCCCATGCTGCACTTCCTCCTGAGAAAGGAGATGTGCTTTCTCTTACCACTGTCCCTCAGTGACCATGGACCCCGAGCTTCAGCCAACCCAGGGCCAGATGCCTCTTGAGTGGTGGGGTCTTGACACCCCCAAGTTCCCCTTTAGGGCCAGCTCCAGCCATATGTGGGCTTAGCCCTTGTCCATTTATATGCACTGACACCCTAGATCTCATCTCTGCTGCAGCCCGGTACCCACCCCACTAAGCTGGCCCCAGGTGAGCCCACAGCTGGCGGGCCCTGCTGTCAGTTGGCTCAGGCCCCACTCTCGGCTGGCCACTAGCTGGCTGGCAGTGGCATCAATGTCCAGTGCTTGAGGCATGAGAAAGCCTGCAGGGAGGAAGGGAGGCTGGCAGAGCTGTAACCCTGTCTTTGGGGCTTCTGGGTCACCCGGGGAAAGCTGGCTTCTGCACAAGGCCAGCAGAGCAGTAGGGAGTCCTTAGTCATTTCACAAGCTAGACCCCACCCACCACAGGTTGGCCAGCGAGGGAGATCGACTGGCTTCCCTCCGGCTCTCACCCCTCTGGTCCCACCCAAATATGCTCCACTCTCACCACTGACTCTTGCTGCCGAACTCCGCCGGCATCACGGCCTGGGCCCCCACCTCCAGAAGCCCCTCCTGGCTCACCGAAGCTTCCATGTGGATAAAGGTCCAACAGACCCTCTAGCATCCTGGACCCAGCAGTTAGGATTCACTTGCCCCTGGCCTGGAGGCAGCTCTAGGTTCCAAACACAGTGACGCCAAACACTGCCCACCATCCCAACCCACCCATCTAGAGCATCTATCAAATATGCCCTGGCAGGCCATGCCCCACGAGACCCAACCATACTCTCCAGATCACAGCCATTGTCTTCCTCCATCAGTACCCCTGCCAGCACCATGTCCCCATCAGTAGCCCTGCCCACGCCATATTCCCCATCACTAAACCTCAGAGGATCGAGGACTCCCACCACACCCAGATGAAGTGGCCACAAAGTTCATCATGGTCCAAGCCAGGCAAGGGGTGGGGGTGGGGGGGCACCTCACAGGTGGAGACATGCTTATCACCAAGTCTTCTCTGCCACACACACACTCTTGGTCCTGACCTCAGCACTCAGGTCAGGCCCACCTCTGCTCATCCCCCATCCTCCACCTCAAGCCCCACCTGAGGGAGATGGAGGCAGCAGGCGGCCATGTGAGGGATGGGACTCAGTGCTATTGCCCCAGGCTGTCCAGCAACGGGCTTGGCTCTGGAACCCTGCCAGTCACTAGGGCCCGGGAGAGGGCCACAGTGGTGCACTGTGCTGTTTCCCCAACGCTCCTGTAGGTCAAGCAGGGTAAACCTAGCCAATGTCAGTTCCTGTCCCAGGGGCCTTGGCAGCCACAATAGGCTGGGCTGGGCCTGTCCGGTCCAGGGTCTGGAGCCTGAGGGCATCCAGGTGAGTCCTACATAGGCGGGCAGCTCTTGGAAGTCTCCTTCTTGGACCTGCCCTTCCATTTGGCTCACTGGGCTTCGTCTGCTGGGTCTGCTATGGGTCTCCCATTCAAACCACACAGCAGCCACCAACCAGGAGGCCTCTCAACCGGCGAGTCTCAGTTCCTCAGCTGTCAGATGGAGATGGCACCGGCTGGCATGGTCTGCCGAGGCGGAACCAGCAGTGCCCGACAAAGTGTCCTCACTGTCTTAGTAGATACAAACTGTGCTTACTCCACGAGACAGTCTGGCTTATATATGGCCTTCCTTGCCATCATCTTGTAACTCCTACCAGTTGGCTGGTGAAGCTATGCAAATAAGGTGTCTGTAGCTCACCCACAGGATTGCACACCTTGTTCAAAGTGCAAATAAAGTGGGTAACACCCTCATGGGGGGTGGGATCGTGCGAATTAGGTGTTATTTGGGGACTGGTCAGTTTTGCTTTCTCACTGCCTAACCTTTCTCCCTTGGAATGACTGGGGATTTCAGACTGCTGACCGTTCGGCCTTGCAGTTAGCAAAGCCAACACACCACCAGGACTCTTCCAAACCAAGAACCAACCTTACCGCCTTAGACTCACAGCGACCCTCTAAGACCTGGCAGAACGGCTCCTGTGGGTTTCCAAGACGGTCACTCTTTGTGGGAGTAGGAAGTCGCCCATCTTTCTGCAATGAGCGGCTGGTGGTTTTGAAATGCGGACCTTGCAGTTAGCAGCCCAACATTTAACCACTACATCAACAGGGTTCCTCTTAGGCTTTAAATGAGTCATCCAGAGGTGAGAAGAGGGGGCCTCACCCTCACCAAGAAGAGATGGGAGTGGAGCATGTCCTGTGGACCCAGAGTCTGCACTAGCCCCAGGAAACAGACAGAGATAGAGACCACTGTAAGACCAGAGGCAGCACCTGCCAGTGAGAAAAGGAGGCAGCAGGACCAGAGGGCAGGGTGGGCTTCCTGGACCACGGAGTGTGTAGACTCATGGAACAAGAAAGCTGAATGTCTTTGGGCCAATGCTTGTCAGGGGAGCGAGGTGGCCCCAGGCACTTAATCCGTGAGCTCACAAGCCCTGTAAGCACTTGTTGGAGCAGGGCAGGGACTGAGAGCGAGAAAGAGGCCTGTTTATGGGCACAGCTAAGGGGCTGTCCTGAGGCCGTCCTGACCCTGAATTGTAACTTGTCACTTCCCTAATAAACCTCACCCTCTGGAGTACCGTCTGTAGCCAGGCGCAGCCATTGCAAATGATGGAGTTTGGCAGAGTGCCGTGGGAGGGTGGCCAGGGTCAGGACTGCTACAAAGGCCAGTCAAGGGGGCCATGTCCACCCTCTGGATCATGGGAACCGGCTTTAGACGGCTTCCATGCATCTCTCACTTCCTGCTCCTGCAGCTAGAGGACAGGCCACCCCACCCATACCCTGCCATGCTTACGCACCCCCTCTTGGCCAATCAGTTGTCAGAGGCCAGGGGAGAATAAGGAAGAGGGCATGTCCTGTGTCCATAACCACACCCTGCCTGCTCTTTCCTGTCCATGACGAGCAGAG